AACTAGGACAAATAAATGAAGTACACATGGTCATAAATTTGAGTTAGGCCTACCTATTTCTTCCATTTTTCTGCCTACTCTGTTCTAATTCCCCTCTTCCAGTAATTCCCAAACAAATGTGCAGCCCAGCTGTGATTTAGTTCTGCACTAGTGACTGTATTATTTGATTATATAAAATCATTATGTATATTTTACATTAAATGCATGTTTTGTTATTTTATTTAGATATAAAACACATTTAATATTAAGTAGCTATGGGGCACCTGGGTGGCTCAGTTGGTTAATCAGTGTAATAGCATTTTTTTCAAATGTGAGTATGATATGTGCATCATAATAGTTATTATTTTAGAATTATGAAATGGCCTTACTTCTCAATGTCTCAACACTAACAAAGTCTAAGAATAAACAACAACAAAAAGGGTATATGTTCAAAAGTTTGTATTTTCAGAAGCTTAAAAATAAATTAGATTCTGAGTTTTATTTTTGTAAGAAAGTCGGTTTCACAACTTTTTATTACTCATGAAATATTAGGTAATTGTGATTAATGGAAGTAATTATTTCATAGAAGACATTTCAGGTTCTCTGTGGGATATGAAGGTGAACACAACCATTCTCAAGGGAGATTCACCATAGAGAAGAGCTAAAAGGCTACTGAGAAATGCAAGGCTTCCAGAAATCCCTCATGGTCTCCCATATAGCGAAGATCTGGCCTGGACTTGGCTTTGTTCCCAGGAGATCAACGAACAACTTTCTTTTGAGGTCAAAACAAGTAGACTTGGAAAATTGGAGCTATGAGTGCAACCAGAGGGAAGCCAATTTTAAGAATCTGTCCTCAGAACCCAACGATGTTACATCCCTGTCATTTCTCTCTTTAAATATTGCTTTAAGTTTTTATATCAACATTATTGAAGAGGACTGTCATATTATTTCAATATATTTTTAAGCTTTCTGACATTGTATTTTTATTTCCTGAACTATTTCCTTTGAGTCATCAAAAATAGAGACAAAACAAATCAAATCTGATCAGAGTGAACTTTGCTAAAGTCTGGCAGAGAAGCAATGAGGTGCATTCTAATCTTCACAGCCCAAATTTGACTATTTAAAATTTAAAGGAGTTAACTGTGATAATTTTACAATACCAAATCTACAGCATAGCACAGCTGGGAATTAACTGAATAGGTTAGTACCAATGGTAGACATTCTTCTTTCTGTTTCTGGAATATCCTTATGGATCAGAGGTCTCACGTAAAAGATAAGTGTGAGGCAGAATTACAAGAGAATCAAACACTTTTTCATAAAGCTAAGAGCTCAGAAGGAAGATTCAAACAGAATATAGAACCCACAGAGCTACTGAGATCTGAGGCAACTAGTTACTTTCCCAGTTTGTGCCACAGTGTAATACACAAAATGGATAAATAATGCATGTCCCTTTAAGCTCAAAAGTAAAAATGTTTCTATATGTACTTTTCTAGCAAGTCACAGAAGATGTCAAACATTAATGATTTCAATGAATTACAAGACAAACCAGTAAGTGAGTATGTTCTGTTAAATAAAATAATTAGGTTATTTATTCAATCATATAGTAAATACATATGTATTATTACATAATATATAAATATAATGTTCTTACATAATCTTGAACTATACCAAAAATATTAATGTAGAAGTAAATTAATAATTAGTAATTTATAACCTATTTTACTTGTTAAGAAAGTTATTAATTGATTATTTATATCATACAAAGTATAATGGTTATTACTTTAACCATTCTAAATTTCACTTTTACCTTGTGATGGAATTAAGATTATCCATTTATGCTTCTAGGTAGTGGCATCCTTTAATAAATACTTGACAGAAAAGAAAGAAAATGCATATTTCTCTTAATTTTTCAAGATTGTAATGATTTGCATAAATTGGACAAAGCAAGAAGTACTGGTTTTATTTACCATTTCTCAATGATGATAAATCATCACTCTCAATGATGTGAGTTACTGTATGAAGATTTTCAAACTTCCGGTATATTTCAAATAAGAAAACTAGTAAATAAAGCAAAACTCACAAATGTGTATGAAAACTAAATGCAAACAATAGAGTTCAATTGAAAATAAGATCAGCATGGATTATAGCACATATTTTAGAATTGTATCGATGACGGTGATATTGATCATCATGAATTATATCTTTCATCTCCTCCCTTTAATACTCTTGCCACCTAAATATCTTTAAGAGAAGAAAAAGGAGAGCGAGACAGACAGAGACAGAGAGACAGAGAGAGAGAGAGACAGAGAAATGAACCACACAGTGATCACAGAGTTTGTCCTGCTTGGCCTTTCTGATGATCCTGACCTTCAGATTGTGATTTTCCTCTTCTTATTTATCACATACATATTAAGTGTCGCTGGAAACCTGACTATCATCACTCTAACCTTGGTGGACCCTCATCTACAGACACCAATGTATTTCTTCCTCC